TCAGAATTCAAATCTTCCCCTGACCATTCCACACTTCTATCTGGTCTAAACCTAGGAGACCCATATTTAACAAGCTGATTCCAAAGGAATAAGCTAAACCCTCCAGTAACTATGTATTTTGCAGCGATCGAAAATGAGAATGAATCGTATTGATATAATATACGGAAGACAAAGTAGATCACCTTGTTGAACAAGAAAGTCAACAATCTCGACAAAAGAGAATTAAACATAGCTTAATTTTAAGAAACTCACATTTACGACAAAAAAGCCCTTCTTCAGGTTTCGAAGGGTCCTGAGGTTTTCATGGGCAATCCTTTTTTCCGACTGATTTGCCTTTAAATTTAAAAAAATTTATTAGTCAAATAATTTACAGCATTCCTGGTTTACATGTGTTCGAATCAACAATCACCATTAAATATTTTAAATATCTATGTCAGTTTTAAAAAAGCCAAAATGTAAACGTGATGCTTAAATAGATGAAGATCGCACTATACATGTTTTTCATGTGTTCCAATTAACCATCGATACGTAAAAACTAACATCACGTACTTACATGCATATTTAAAGCAATCTCGAAAAATATTTCAAGAACGAGCTTTAGCGGTAATTCCCTGTTGTTAATTTAATTAGTGAACCCTCCATTATCAAATTATAGGTACTTACTAGATTGATATTAATTTCCTTAATATTAGCGAAATCATAAAGAACGAAAAATGGTTAGTTTTGGAGGCATAACTCATAGCCTTAGCATAAAAAATTTTTTTTTCTTCAAAAATATTTTTGCACTATTGTCATAATGTAAATGTATTTGTACGAATTTAGGTCGTACTTGCGACGGCGATATGTACCAAAGGCGGAAAAGGTATCTTTATCGATTCATCAAAAAAATCTTGAAGCATTCTTGAATGTTTTAACAAACTTCCGTTATGATATAGCCGTGATTTCCCGGCAGTTTCGGGAAATGCCACGTTCTAGGATTGAGGGTCTTCTGGCTTCATTCCCCAAGTTAACTAGCTCTGGACAGCAACACACTACCATTGAGACCGAGCATGTTCGATATGTATACCAGCCCTTAGATGAACTCTATATAGTTCTCATCACGAATCGTCAGTCTAACATCTTACAAGATATTGACACGTTACATTTGTTTGCACGTGTTGTGTCTGATGTGTGCCGATCAACGGAGGAAAGAGAGATATTGAGAAACAGCTTCGAGTTGTTGAGCGCTTTCGATGAAATTGTATCGTTAGGATATCGTGAGAATGTCAATTTGGCACAAGTCAAGAGTATCACGGAGATGGAAAGCCACGAAGAAAAGATTCAAGAAATAATAGCCAAGGTAAATGGAATATACAAGATGGTTGCAACACACACAACGTCGATGTTTGCACAAAATTATTTAATCCCTCGCTGTATCGCCGTAGAATAAGGAACAGGAAGCCAAAGAAGAGCTTAAGAGGAGGGCGAAACAGTTAGAAATGCAAAAAAAAGAAATGCTCAAAAGAGGAAATTCTTTTGGATTCGGTCAATCGATCAACAGACCATCTTCTTATGCTGAGCCTCAAGTCCAACAAACTTTCGATGAGAATATACGTTCAACGTTTAGTAGGTATGCTGTCGAGTGTTACCAATTTGGTTCATAGGTGAATTTATATTCAAAAAAAAAAAAAAAAAATCTCCTTCATTATAAATAGTTCTCCAACCCCATCGTCTTCTAAGGCAAAGGGAATGCAACTAGGGCGGAAGCAGAAAGGAGCTGATTTGTTTGAAGCTGTTAAAAACGAAGTTGGATTCGAGGAATCCACCGAAAAATCCAATGTCAGAGGAACATCATCCGTCCCCATGGAAAGGTATTCAATTTGTTATCCCTTTTGGGAACGATCTATTATGTTTTCTTTTTAAAAAAAAAAAAAATAGTAAATAAAAAATTCATTGATATAGTGTTCACATATCAATTGCCGAAAAGATATCTCTTCAGGCCAATAGAGACGGCGGCTTGGAAAATCTGGAGGTGAAGGGTGACATGGAACTTACTATTTCGGATCCAAACATGACCCGAATTAAAATTTCTGTTCGTGCAGTAGACGATGGCACCTTGCAATTGAAGGTTTGGATACATCGATAATTCAGAATAGACCAATCCATTAATTATTTTCCTGTAACTCATGAACCTTCATCGAAAAAATAGACACATCCAAATGTCGATAAGAAGTTATTTTCGACTGATAGCATTATCGCTTTAAAAAATCCGGGTCGAGGATTCCCCGTGAATCAGCCTTTAGGGATTCTTAGGTGGAGATTTATCACGAAAGACGAGACTGCAATCCCTTTGTCAAGTATGTCATTGATTTTCCAAAGTATAAAATAGAGCCAATTAATTTTTGTCAATAATTTTACATCCTTTATTTTTATGTTATTTTTTTCTGATAGTAAATTGTTGGCCTTCTCCTGCTGGCGATGGCACCATTGATGTCAATATTGAATATGAATTGGAGAGTGAAAACCAAGAATTCAAGGATGTGGTCATCTCGATTCCATTACCGTAAGTATAATAATGCGGGCAGATGATGAAATTAAAAACCCTTTCTAAACGTAACTTATTTTAATTTTTAGCTCTTCCGGAAATCCGGTTGTCGGAGATGTAGACGGTCATTATGAAATAAGCAGACAACCCAGAGCCTTAGAATGGCAATTGCCTATCATCGACTCGTCCAACAAACAAGGATCCCTCGAGTTCAATATTGCAGGAGATGATGTCAATGTGTTTTTCCCTGTTGGCGTATCATTTACAAGCGAAAAATTGATCTGTGACATAGATGTAGGTGGATTCACTTGTTTTTCTAAATTAATACGAACGCGATAATAACTTTCGCTTCCACTTCAGGTGTTAGAGGTGATGCACGCGGAGTCTGGAGCCACCGTGACCTTTTCTAAAGAGAAGGTCTTGACAGCCGAAGAATATCACGTCATGTAATTTCATAAATTCCCTGCTCAGAAAATTTTTTATTTCGATAATCTTTGGACTCCGAGGATTCATTGCATTATATTTTGTGGGACATTGATATTTTATATGTCATAGAGGTGTTTTTTAGAGTTTCCAACGTTTGAATTAAATAGGAAACCGAATTTATTATATATTTATATTCCTTAATATTTAATTCAAATTGGGTACTATAAAAAAAAAAAATTCATATCATCAAATTGATATACATTACTTACCGCACGAACAGAAATGTTACACATTTTAGTATTCAATTTTTATAATTTGTCAATATCTTAATCACGAATGCTCATTGTAATGTAATGTGAAAAAAAAATATATTTTTTTTCTTTTTTTTTTTGATTAAAATTTTCGGTCAAGTAGAAAGTTAGTTTCAAAAAAAAATAAAGCCAATAAAAACAGATGATTAAAGAATTTACATATCTATTGAATGACAAATAAATACACAAGATTTCACTATTCTGCGGCGATCACAGCCGGCTCGGAGACAATGGATTTTTTTATGTCATTTT